TGATGTTTGCACAGATCTTATCTGCTCAATAACTGTTGTTACATAGTTTTGTTTTTTGTGTGTGGTTTTGGTTTCATTTTTCTGTAATGGGCTGTTTTTTCAGCTTTTTTTTTCTTCATTTTCTATCTCAGATGAGTATGTTTCTTTTCTGAGATTATGTGTTCGGTTATAAATTATTTTCTAACTTTTATGCAGTTGTTTTTTCACATTTTCAGCTGTTATACATTTATTCTGTACGTTCTGTACACATTTTGTTGAATATCATTTTTATTTGTTCGCATAAAATGATCCCGAACATTTGATAAACCCTCCAAATTGAAAACAAAAAACTATTATTTTTAATCTAAACCACAGCATGATGCTGCCACTCTCCATTTTTAGGGTGGCCATAATGGCCCATAAGTACACAACAGCTCACAGTCTTCTGTCAGTTAATTTACTTATAGTGCATCTTTGAACTATTATTCTTAACTTTACTTATCACAATAGCGGGGTCTTTTATTTTGCTGTGTTCATGAACGAGGGTGATAAAGGAAATACAATTTCCTCAAATGTAAAATTTGTAGAACTGATTAAAATTATTTTTTGATGGTTGCCTTAAGACTTTATGAACAAACTGAACCTTAAGAACTTGGTTTCACTTTTAGAAAATTGTATTACCTGTAAAATTAACTGTTAAATTAAATGTTCCTTCTATTAAACAAAGAAAGTGTCTGCTTAAAGGTCTTTACAATGTGATGTTCCAAATGTCATTAAAATACAAGATTGCCAAGAAAAAAAAAGATCTCAGATGAATGCAAAACAAAACAAACTATACAGCATGAGCCAAGATCGCCATGTTTCATGGTGTGGATGGTGCTGCAAAAATTGTGACAACATCTTAAGCTCTGTTATAGTATAAGCAGCGGGCGAAAGAAAAGAAGTTAAAAAAGTAGTTTCCTATTTAACAATTTTCACCAAGGTAGAGAAGTTTGTGCAGCCAAATCCTTTTTAACATTTATGCAGTGTGTCCTTTCATTTTCTTTAAATTGGACATATTCTTAAAACTGCCTTTGAATGGGATTATTTCATTAATGGATACATTAACGATTTGCCTCCACAGCATCCAAATGTCTCTGAATTTAAACCGAGGTTGTAATATCATAAATCTACAAATATCAAACATCACCACAAACCATTTCCAACTCTTGCTAATTTTCTTTACCATGCTCAAAAACACAGCACCTCCCGAACATCATGTTGCCACCACCATGTTTTGCTTAATAATCAGAGCAACACAGAAGCAGTGATAGATCCTCACACTCAGTGTCCCTACATGACTGGTTTTAACGCCTTGCATTATAATTCTTTAAAAGTGTGACCATGGGGCAAAACCCCTTTAACAAAAAAACAAAAGAACACGTGATGGATTTTACTTTCAAATGGCCACAAGCTCAGAAATCTTTTAATGAGACAGTTTTCTTGGTTTAAAAAGCAAGAAGAGAGGTGATTAAAAATCACACAATGTTTTCTGCCAATTTCTAAATACGTCATCTCTTCAAAGTTACAATTAAAAAGAGGGATGAATTTCTACTATAAATCTGAGAACGTTGTATTCAAGCAAATCCATGAAGGAATGGTCAGAACCATCACCGCGTGGCTTTATGCTCGCTACATTCCTTATAATCTGTGAATAAAAAACAACCTGAACGCATAATGCTGCCAACACCTGGCGATGGTGGTGCAGGTGAAATAGCTTAAGCTCAGTCAAATTGGAAGTTAAACTAAATATCAACTGAAAGTATCACTAAACTGGCTGCAGGTGATCCTCGCTGACAGCCCCCCGGGCAGCATGTGGTTACTCATCACCGGCCGGTGTCAAATTGGTGGCGCTAAATTAAGTGAAAATGTGAGATAGAGCTGTGAATGTAAAGCGTCTCGCAGTCTTCCTTTGGCTCTGTTTGTCTCTCTCTAATCCCATTTGCCAGCCTCACAACAGGATTACCAGCACCGCAGCTCTCACTTTACCAATCGCATGCTCTCCCCGATCTGTCCGCTCATCCATCACTGAGAAGTTGCAGCGGAAAACTCAATGAGAAGTGGTGCAAACGTTTCAGTTAATTATGTTTAAAGAGGATTCCTAGAATTCTTCATCTTTGTTGAGGTAACCAGCAGGACCAATGCTTTCTTTTTTTGCTAGTGTAATATAATGAGTAGTTACCACATACTGTAATAAGAAGATTCATTGATTTTTACTGTCTGCAGGAGCTTCCGTGTTATCTTTCAGGTTATTTACAACACTCACACCAAGGAGACAGAGAGCACAGACTCACGCTGAGCCAGAAGCTTCAACCTGAGCCCTCTGGCTGAAAGATCCTCACTGATTCTTACCAATCCTTCATTGATTTGCTTGAATAAAACTTTCTCAGGTAGATATACAGCTGATTGAACTTTGCAGATGTAAAAAGAATGTGTTTACATACAGATAGTTGTGATACTGTAAGATAAAGTCATGAAACAAGTAGAAGCTTTTTTTGTAAGAAAAAGTATTAAAAGTCCGTAAAGCAGTTTTGTGTAAATATACATCTTTACTTTCAATATTACCTTTTATAAGGCTGCATTAATAAGGTAAAAAAAATAAGTCTAACAATATTTTTTACATTAACTTCTTAAAACATGGAAATCGGGTCGTCTTCATGGCTTTAGTTTACATTTTAGCCATCGTCGTCATTGCTTCTGATATACCGACAACCAACTAATACACAAGGATTCATACATGCATTCAAATGAGATGATAAATTGGGTTTCATGCAGCCTTCAGGGGTCCCATGTTGTTTGGAGCATACAAATAAGAAATTTACAGCTCATACATCACATATTTCAACTTGATTTTTAAAACAAGCCATATAGGTTTGCCTCAATAAAGTGTTGAAAGGGGTGGAGTTTGGGTAGTGTGAGTGCAGCGAGTGTGTGTGAGGTTCCACAACAAAAACCTATAAATCCTGGAAAGAATCTACATTTTTAGTGTATAATGCTATTCACATATGCTGAGAGCTGGCGAAAAATAGTAGAAGGATGGATACTGATTCACTGAGAAAATAAATATAAAAATTATTGTATTTTATAATAAAAAGCATTGTTATTTAATATATAAGTTACCTAATTATTTACATTTTACCCTTAGAAGCTTGTTTTGTTTAGGTTTCTTTTGTTTTTTTTTTAATAAATATAAAATAATTATAGGTATTGCCAGACATCCACACCCACCTACACCTCACTTTAATGGCACAGCTGAAGAAAATGACAACAACTGAGTGAGAAAAGGAAAGAATTTGCAATAGAAAATATTGTGTATAGACTAACAATAAAACCTATATGGCTTTTTATAAAGTTTTTTTGCGCAGTCTTCTACAACAGAAAAGTTCATCAAAAGTTTTAGATTTTTTTGTGCAAATTAACAGGAAGCAAGAATTAATGTAAAACAATAATTGTATCTCTTGACTTTTGTTTGTTTCCATATTATTTTGGAACTTCAAAAGTCTATGCAAAAGCTAAAAGTAGCACGGAAAAGTTAGTGGATTTTACCAAATATTAGAAAAACACTGCCTAAAGAGACAATAATATAACTTATTAGAAAAGGAAATGTTGAGAATTATCTGTCATTAGTTTATTCATATATATATGTATATATATATATATATATATATTTTTTTTTTTATTCTATTTGAATAAACCTTTTATTAAGCTCAGGAGAGTATTTCGATGTGTTTTTGCCTTAAACACAAATTAACACAAATTTGCACACTGTCAAAAGACGTTCACAGGTATGGAAGTTCTAAGCAGAAATTATACAGTTAAAATGAGCTGAGAATTGTGAAAAGGATATTTAAAAACACCAAAAAAATCTGAAGATCACAGACAGAATTGCAAATGAGCATTGCATGTCTGAGTAGAATCAGATCTTGAAATATTTTAAGAAATGTTTATTCCTAATTGGAAAAAACCTAAAGGGCCCCTTAATCACTTCACCTGTGTTACTTAGGCGGCAAAAGATGGCTATCTTTATAACTTATATCACTCATATCAATCTATGAATTTCCATTTTTCTTATATTTTTTACGTAAGTCCTCACCAAACATAATTAAGATCTGTAAAATTTTTGAATTTGTAAAACACAACATTTATTTAAGCATAAAAAGTTGATTCCCATTTAGGCAAAATTTATTTGTTTTAACTCCTGAGCCTGAGACTGTCAACAATCTGCAACAAGATTATTAAAGGTCTCCATTTGTTGATCATTAAAAACTGCACAGAATGGCAAATCTCATCCCAAACGTTAGCTATAGATCTATAGACTGATTATAAAGAGCTCTCAGACTGCAAAGCATGCACACAAACAGAAAAGGCTAGTTAAAGGTGAGTTCAAATCATGCAACGATTTAAATCCCTGCAAAACACACAATCTTTTAAAATTGCATGTCATTTGGATCAACATACCAAAAGTTATTTTAAGATGAAATCTTGTGACCTGGCTGCTTTGACCCTCCTGTTTAGCATCAATCATTGCGCATTAGCTGTCATCGCAGCTGCACCTTGCAGGAAAAAGTTCGCAGCGCGTCCAGATCCGATCGAGCAGCATCGGTTTTCCCCCCGCGAGAAAAATAAATGGAAAACTAAAAGATGCAGGAGTCACTATCCGAGGAGACCGATTAGATGTTTGGATGGGGGAAACAGATGAGAGAAAAACATTAAGAACGTCAGGAGGTGGTAAATAAGCGCATGATGGGGAGCCAGGCAGCAGGGAAGCGCCGACAGTAAACATCCCTGTGAGCGCCCGCCGCAGGAAACCCGCGTCCCTGGAATACTAATGACAGGATAAAGCAATGGGATGGAAAAAATAAACAGATAATATAAACAAAGATGTGAATTATGTGAGCAATGGAGTGGTTATGCGTTTCTTAAAAAAAAAAAGAAAAGAAAAATACATGCATGCTGTTTTAAAAAGATTAAACATGACTTACCCAAAAAGAAAAACTTCACGTGGATGGTGTCCGTTGCAAAAAGTTGCACCTTTTTTCTCTTTGCAGCCCATAAAGAAAGCCAGATTAGGTGCGAACAAGGAGTTTAGAAGTTATCATGTTGGAATCAGTCCTGGAGAGGCTGGAGATGTTCCGTCGGATCGCGCGTAAACGCTCAGCCACAGCAGGGATATGGCGCTCCTGACTCTTCCCGACTCTGTACCTCACCTTCTCCTCCCTTCTTCCCCTCTCTCTCTCTCTCTCTCTCTCCCTCTCCTGCGCAGTGCCTTCTCGGTGATGTGCAGGGAACCCCAGCTGCAGGGTTCGAGCTTTAGTCTCTACATCCCTCTTGTGCTGTACGCGCGACAAGGGACGCACAGCAGGAACGGCGGCAGCAGCGGAGTAGAAAAGGGAAATAACGCTCTCATCCGAGCCAAATCCTCTCCTTACAGAAGACGATTGAGGGTTTTTCTTCCTCTTTTTTTTTTTTTTTGCAAACCAAAAATAAGTTGGCGAGGTGGTAAAGCCAGAAGACACACGCGGCGCTTCTGGCGAGGAGCAACGGAGAACCAAAAAATGAGAGCTGCCAAGTTTTCTGGCAGCAGATGGCATGTGTGCTGCTAAATGAATGTCTTGGTAGTGGTGAGAAGTAGAGAAAAAAAATCGATGCAAATTCCTTGACATCTTTAACCAATGGGGGAAATCATACATTCACCTCCCGCTGTCTTGAGAGTTAATTAAATCCTCCTAGTAGCATGTAAAAAGAGCAAATTTCCCAAATACATTAGCGCCTTGCTGAAAGATTCACAACAGTTAAACTTTTTCTCTAATTTTGTCTTTTTAGAAGCAAGATCTTCAAAGTGCTTAACTGAGATTCTATGTGACAGATCATTTTAGACACACCTTATTTCACCATGTGTTTAGATAGATGAGCAGGGCTACTTTTATGACATACGCTGCAAAAACAATCTAGAAATAACTAAAAAATGTCTGAAATGAAGTGACCCTAATTTGAGTAGGTAAATAAAATGATCTGCCAATGGAATTGTTTACTCTTAAAATAAGTTAATTAGAAAATATGCTCTTAAAATAAGACAAAGCAATTATTTTTTACTTATTTTAATAGTAAATTCTATTCTTCCACTGACAAAGTGCCTCACTTGCCTCCTCAATTCAAGAGGATTTAAATTGAAGTTTTTTTCAGTGTAGATTTTGTTTGTCTGAGGAAGCACATCATAAAAACCTTTGGTGATTAGTCCATATCTTGTCCCTTGTCACTTCATTGCTGCTAACAAAAAGTCAGCATGTCAGCAATGGGATGGTGTGTTCAGAGATACATGCATGCAGATTGTAGCCTCGTGAGACCATCCTGATCTCGCGAGCTTTCAAGATTTCTCTAGCTAATCAGTCTGAAGACGTTCACCAAACGAACGTCCAATCAGCGTTGGCTTTGAGGCGGGTTGAGGTGTGACGCAAAGAGAAGCGCGACAGTTCAGTCTAAAGAACATGGCGGCTTCAGCCGATGAAACTAGCATTAGCGTGGCTATCAAGCAAGTTTTATCGGAATTACAGAGTATTTCTTCACTGAAAGAAGAGCAAAACACTGCTCTGGAGGCTTTTCTCAGAGGAAAAAATGTTTTTGCTCTTCTCCCGACTGGTTTCAGCAACAGTTTGATCTATCAATTGGCTCCTCTTCGTCGTCACTCTGTTACGTCATATGCTTCGTTGATCTGATTGGTTTATTTGGCCCGTCTATCACCAACATAGGCCAATCAGCTAACCAGTATTTTCGCCCCTTCCCAAAATTACTTCTACGGAAGGTTTCCAGATGAATATGCAGAGCAAATCCATCTCGCGGAGTCCGGTTATGCAGATTGACCATGTGTCACATTAATGCGAGTAAATCCAATGTATTTTCAATGGGATTTTATGTGTAGGGCCTATATATTTGTTAATTTTACTGAAAAAAATAAAGCTTTACCAAGCGCTCTACATAATTGAAAATCTTGGCTTTGATTAATGTGTTTAACAGCTTTCTAAAGACAGATTTTTTTTTATTTACTTTACTCTGTAAAACAGGTTATTTTGAGACGGATTTGATGGAGAATATCTGTGAAAATTAATTTCCATGTCTTGCCATAGATTGATCATCTGAGGTCTTTTAGTCTTTTAGCTCCAAATATAGGTCTGGCTGTGTGTTCAGGGTCACTGTCTTTCTAAAAACGCAAACCTAAATGATTTTTTTGGTCTCTAACAGGCAGTGGCGTCCACAGACTTTTTTAAAGGGCAGGGTCAAAAAGGAAAAAAAAAAAGGAATATAGCACATCATCAACACTGTAGAGAGCATATTAGCATGTTTTCATGACAAAAAGTCACTTTAAAACCTTTTGCTTCCAAGAGGGCAACTTAGCATACATTCTTGCTCCCAACAGGGCACCAAAGCACCCGATTTGGGCTCCCGAGAGGACACCATAGCTGGTGTTCTGGCTCCCAAAGTGGAAGTTTAGCAGGTTTTGGCTCCCAGGGGGGCACTTTAGCATTCCTTTTGGTCTCAGAGAGGGTACCTTGGAGCACAGTCTGGCTCCAAAGAAGGAATAGTAGCGAGCATTTTTTCAATATTGGTCCCCAAGGGGCCCCCCCCGTACACGCCACTGCTAGTAGGTTTCTTTTCAGGACTTCCCTCCACTGTCTAGATCCTTCCAACAACTCTGACCAGCTTTTAAGTCTCAGAGAGAAGTATTCAGCTAAATGTGAATATCTCATAGTGCTGTGATCACCGTGTTTCACCATGGAGATGGTTTGTTCAGGGGGCAGTGTAAGTTATAATAGCTGCTAGTGTCTGTCCGAGTGGCTACAGTAGTCTCTTCAAAAAATATTTATGCCCTCTGAACTTTTCATATTGTGTCAAGTACATGTTTCAAAGTAATTTTATGTGACAGACCAAAAGCAGAGGCAAACAAAAAGGGCAAGATCAATGTGAAAATTGGTGTAAATTTGCTCGCAGTCCTGCTTTTCTTAAAAAAATAAAAACCTTAACAGTTGTGTGCATTTGAGTTCAGCCTTATCCATCTGTTTTTTTGCTAAGAAATACACCAAGGTTCGCAGTTGTAATGTTTCAAGTTTTTAAAAAGTTTTGAGCCAATGTGAATACTTTTGCAAGCACAGAACATCTATTGTTCATTAAAGCTGTTGGCATAACCTTTCCTTTTTTTCTTGTTCCCTCCATCCTAACTCCCACTAATACCCCAAATGTTATCTTGAACATACACATTTGTGTTCTGAGAGTTTCATTTTTTGCCCAATTAGCTACAAAGTGAGCTCCTGGGGTGACAGAAGAATGTAGATTAAGGTTGGCCTCTATAAACTACAGCAAACCTCTGTGCTCACAGCCCACTGAGAACAAACCAGTATTACTCATATGCCTAATTAGTGGCAATGCAAAGCAAACTCTTGATACATCATCACATATTCAACTAAATCTTTACTGTCCTTTTTAAGATGCTTATAGGATTTTACTTACGTACATGTAGTTCGCGTACATGTAGTTTGCATACATGTAGTTTGCGTATTTTTGTCCAAGTTTAAAGACCTGTTTTCACATAAGGTTTTAATATTAGTGATATCTGTTTTTATCAGTTCTTTTTTTTTTTTTTTGGCTTTTTTTCCCCCCTCAGTGTTATTTGCATTTTGGAAACAGTCACATTACAACAGTGCAGCTTCTATTCATTGGGGAAGGGAGCACTGACCCAAACTAATAGAAACAGCAGCCTCTGTCTGTCATACCTGGAAGAACAGCTGGTAAAGTTGGAATGCAGCAATAACCAGCAGTTAAGGATAAACAACTGCATCCTAGATTATGGCAAACATAATAATAACCTAAAGAGGGTAACATTTGAAGGCAGATCATTTTGAGACCATAACAGGCCTTTAAAAAACAGGGCGGAAGGAGGGGAGGGGGAAGTGCATGATAATAGAGAAAGAGGTGAGAGGGGGGAGAAGAAGGAGGTTCGTCACAGTATACGAGGTGGGCTCCGCAGCTCTTCAGCAGTGAGAGTTATTTAATTGGAGAATGACATTGGAGCTTGGCTCATCAGCTCCTCCCCATCCATCACAGGCAGTCAGGAGAGGCCCGGGGTTATGTGGTCCTGCATCCCAGCTATACACTCCCTCAGCTTCCTACTCCCACATTTAATGGCCATGCCTCCATTTCACCTCCTCCATCCAACCAGCTCCACCCCTTGCCAGGATGCAGCGACCCTTCACTCACCTGGACTACAGTTATCTTTCTCCCCAAAGACACACATACACACTTCTGTGGCTTGATGGGTCTTTTTGTTCACAGACCAAAAAGAGACAAAACCAAGGAAAACTGATGGAAGAATAATGAAATACGACCTCCAAGGACTACAATGTTTGTTTGTTCGAGTTTGTTATGGGTGTCAAAGTAAACCATGAAGAAAAGGGACCGAGCAAAACTATTGTATGTGTTCAAATGGAAACATTGTGCAAGTTGATCTACCAGCATGTTTTCCCCTTGTTTTTGTTGATGCCACCTCAGCAGGAAAAGTAGAGGTTTAAAATGTGTAGTGGACTGCAAGGCTGGATTATGTAGCCAATGTTAATATTTTAACTAAGAAACTCCCTCTAAAGCTAACTATCTTGTACAGTAAAGGTGGCTTAACTTAACCCACTGAAAAGTTTAAGTAAATTTAGACCCTACAGAAACACTGTTTCTGTAGGGTCTAAATTCATCACAACAAAAACTAATTTCCAGTTGTGATGGTTTTTACAGCCTTCATTCTAATACACATGCTATTGTCATGGTTTTGTTTCTGTTTAAGTTTTATCTTTGAGTTTTCATTGATTTTATTTCTATTTTGTGGTTCTATTTATATTTAATTGTTTCTGAGTTCTTTGGTATTTCTTTTTTCCCTCTTTTGCTAATCTCCTTTTCGCCTAGCTCCCTTCTAGATTCCTTTGTCCACATCTGCTCCCAATGCTGATTAGCCTGGCCTTTGTTTCTGTCTCCCATACAATTCCTACTCAGTCACTGTTTGCTGGTTTGCTATAATTTCTTGACCCTCTTGTTGTGAGTATTCTTGGCTTTCAGTATTTTTGGATTTTGTGAATTTATGTTTGTAGATTTGTTGCTTCTGTTATTAAACCTACAAGAAACCACCTCAGCTTCCGTGTCTGCATTTCCTTTTCAGACCTCCACCCAACCTGACAGCTAAAACTGTAAAATGGGCATAATTTTAAGGACAGACAGATTTAATTGGCAAGAAGGAAGTTGCTGTTTAACAAAATTTTCCTAATTTATTTATGATTTGACATAATAATAATAATAAAGTATTAAATACACAACATAAGTGGCCATGGAAGACTAAATTAATGTTACTGCTGCTCTCTGTTTTTTCCACTTGGTGAACTCTCATATGATTGACTTAAAAACCAGGAAGTAAACACAAGCGAAAAAAAAGCAGCTCAGATTTCTAAGTTATTGCTCCTTTAAACTATTATT